GCAGAGAAACTTAAAGCTTACGAAGACAATAACTGGAAAGACATACAAGAAAGCGGAATGTTTGAGAAGGCAGAGGGTTGCAGTCTTGGACCTGTTTTTGAAAATGCACAACTTGTCAAGCTCAAAATGTACAAAAGTAAGAAAGTCCAAGTAATAAATGCTTGGCTGTCTATGCAGCTTTTAAATACTACAAAAAGTACAACAGAGGAAGAGCTAGAAGAAGATGGTACTTCACGCGAGGACACTGAAGATGATGATGATTCATATGAGGACACTAATGAGGATACTGAAGATTTGGATAGCGACGAAGAAACTGACATTGTTACTCATGAAATAGGAATTACTGATAGTGAGGAAAGCGATGACAGAAAAAGAAGAAGCCGAAACAGTCAATGTTACAATAAGTGGTAGACGTGTGCAACCAAGAAAATACTTTTGGGATTTAGATTTTTTTCAGGGGTGTGTCATCTGCAATTTTGCTTCTAAACTGGGGTTGGGTCCTCCCATTTTCAGCATCATTTTGATGGGCCAAGATAAAAAAACACTGATTCTATTCTGATTTTGCCCCCCACCCCCCCTCCCCTATACTTTATGACCAGTCCCTTATGTCACCTAGCGCACTGAGACGTCAGTTTAGTGCGCTATATAAGAATATTATCATTATTATTATTACTATTATTATTATTATTATATGATGTGATAAATGAAACGTGATAATTGAAATGCTTCTTCCAACGCTTTTTGGTCAAACGGAACCACTACCTGAAGAGCTGAGTAGACTTATTACCTTATCCCCTGCGGAAGGAGGCTTAGGGATGCCTGCACTAAAAGAAGAGGCTCCACAGCAATATGCGGCATCACTTCTAATAACAGTTTCACACACCGAGGCTATTAAAACGCAAAACAAAACCATGTATACGACCACGGAAGATGTGAAAAAACAACATCAATCACTAAAAGCTGAAATCTCTAAATCGAAAGTGGATCAAATCGATGCAGCATTACCACCTGACATACTGCGTCAAGTAACCCAAGCAAGAGACAAAGGAGCAAGCTCATGGCTCAATGCGATACCAATTAAAGAACAGGGGCTTACTTTGAATAAACAAGAATTCAGAGACTCTCTTTGTCTGCGTCATAATATACCGTTATCAGGTTTACCAAGTACCTGCGCTTGTGGGACCACCTTTTCGGTAAGCCACGCCCTATCGTGTAAAAAGGGAGGATTTGTAGCACAGAGACATGACAATGTCCGTGATCTACTTACCATGTTTTAAAACAAGGTTTGCAACAACGTTCAAAAGGAGCCACAGCTTATCCCATTATTGGATGGCGAACAATTTGATCTAAAATCTACGAGCACAAATCAGAAGGCAAGGCTCGACATCAAAGCTGGATCGTTTTGGGCACAAGGAGTAACTGCATTGTTTGATGTAAGAATATCGCATGTTAATTCCAAGAGCAACCAAAACAAATCCATTTCTACAATCTTCAAAAATCAAGAAAGCAAAAAAAAAAAAAAAGAGAAAGTACCAGCAAAGAGTAGTCTATGTCGATATGGGAACTTTTACGCCCTTAGTTTTTGGTACAAATTAACCAAGAAGACTGGGGACACATATGCAAAACCTACTACAACTCCATTATCTTTTGAAAGAATTAAGTCAGTACACATGTGTGTCAGGGGGAAAAGAACCCCTTTTTTAAGGACAATGAATTCTTGAATGACTTTAACCTTAACGCCAATTTAACTGAAATTTAGAATTATTTGGAATTTAATAATAAATGTATAGTTTTAATATAGTATTATATCAGTGTGAAGAGCTGGACTCGTGTTTTGAGCTATTAATTTATTTTATAAATATGTTTTCATCGATAAATAAGTAATTTGTACATATATTTGTTATTTTATATTCATAATCTCTCTTTTATTTTGTTTTATAATTATAGCAATATTCTTATCACATATCACATGTAGTTAATTATTATTTAATTATTATTGTCAATAAAGTTTATTATTATTATTATTGTATCAAAAGTATATCAGACACAGCAGGATATCTTTCATGGTATTTTTTTCAGAAAGCCCTTAGTGATAGACAACGTGAAAAAATATCTCGCATGATATTCCACAATTTTTTATATGCTTTTGATATACTTGTATACATATTGGAAGCAGCCATAATTTTTGCAAATGGCTGTATACACCTACTTGCAAAAACGTTGTCATACGATATTAGAACATTAGTAATTTAGCGAAAAAGGAATAAAGAAAAAGACAAAAGAAAAAGTTCAGCTTCAGTGATCTTCTT